TGATGGGACCAGAGTCCTCATCGTGGCTCTGCCACTTTCTGCCAGTTACACCTGGGACAATTGACTTCGTTATCTTATCATTTCATTTCTCATTTGTAAAATGGGATTAATAATTGACTGTCCCGCCTCACCATAATAGCTGGGACATTACTGGCTTTGTAGTTTAATAAGCTCTTTTTCACAGTTTTTAAATTTAATTCTCAAGCTTTCTCTGAGGAGAGGTGAATATGCTGCTTTCACCACTGAGGACACGGAGTCCTCGAGTCACAGAGCCAATAAGCCGTGGAGTGGTCTCGCTACGCAGTTTGCGCTTTCTCACTTGTACCAGACTTCCCGCCTGCTGCGGAGGCTTTTTTATAAGAGAGCAGATGGGGATTTACGTGAGGGAACGTTAAAGGCTTAAACTACGGAAAAGATTACAAATTGATTATGACTGCCGTTACCCTAAGCCATGGATTCTGAGGAACCTAGTTTTTGTTTTGTTTTGTTTTTAGGATTTTTATTTACTTATTTGAGAGAGATCACAAGTAGGCAGAGAGGCAGGTAGAGAGAGAGGGAGGGAAGCAGGCTCCCCGCTGAGAAGAGAGCCCAATGCGGGGCTCGATCCAAGGACCCTGGGGATCATGACCTGAGCTGAAGGCAGAGGCTTTAACCCACTGGGCCACCCAGATGCCCCAGGAACCTAGTTTTCCCCCTGCATTTTTCTTCTCTGAAATTGGCATGTATCTGAAAAAATCAAGGGCTCTTCTCAGAGCTGGCCAGGTGGCAGAGTCATGGTCTCGTGTGAAAACTTTTAATAGAAACATCTGGTAAGATGAAGAAAGTCCAGCATCAGATTACTTAGGCTTTGACTTAGTGTGATGAAATTTAGCGTTCATTTTGGTCACTGCGTAACTACTCAGTTAATGGAAACCCACGGATTCCCACCGTTTCCAGGGACTGTCGGCTCTTTGTAGGGGAGACATTTTAATTGTCCATGTTAGAGATACTCCTGAGCTGGTTTAGTCTGGTGATACTGACAAGTCACCCAGAAAGCAGCTCAGGTATGTTTCCATAGAGTCTGGGCGCATATGTCACTAGCTTCCTATCACACTTAAATGTTACTGATTTCAGTTATTCTAATAAGCACTTACTGGAATCACTGTGAAGAAAAGAAGTGAATCTGACGCTAACACTGCTGTTAAAAATCTTGGACTCTGGTAGGAGAGGTAAGGCATTCGTAAGTAATTATAATACAGGGTAGAAAGTGTTGTACTTGGATAAATTTCTAGGAGAATATAAAGGTCCAGACTCATATGTAACGTAACTGAAAAGGTGAAGTTAGGTCGCTTAGTAGTTGAATGGCTTCCCAAAAGGACTGTTCAGTTGTTTCAAAGGAAATTCAGTAAGCAAAAAAAAAAACCCCTTTTTTTTCACTTTTTTAAAAATATTTTTTATTTTTTATAAACATATAATATATTTTTATCCCCAGGGGTACAGGTCCGTGAATCGCCAGGTTTACACACTTCACAGCACTCACCATAGCACACTCCTCCCCAATGTCCATAACCCCACCGCCCTCTCCTGACCACCCTCCCCCCAGCAACCCTCAGTTTTTAAATGCTTAAATTATTGAAACCAAGTATTCAAATCCTCATGGATTATATGTAGCTTAATTATTTACAAAGTTGTTATCATGTTGAAAATTGAAGACTTTTAGAATTCCTATAGAATTTGGCTATATATTCAAGGATACTAATAAACTTAACTGAATCAATCCAAAGTGAGTTTGTACATGAACAGCGTTTATTTGTTCTTTCAGCTAGAAGAACAGTCAAAACACCTAAGTCAAAAAGAAGATGTGGCTGCCTTAACAAAGCAAATTTATGATTTATCAATGGTAAGAATCACCTTTCTTTCCCAGAAATACATTTCCTCTTCGACGACTAGACATGATCGTGCTGTTTATCGGTGTTCCGGGGATGGAGAGAAATTAATACTGCAGCGAGAGAAAGCCTTTGATGTACCTTTGAACAAACATGTTATTCAGGCTAATATCCTCAATGATTCCCCACCTGTGGTGAATGCTTTTATTTATTTCTTATTCACAGCAATGGTGGCATGGCCCTTGCACTTCGCGTAGTTAACCCCGCATTCCTGCAACTTCAGCTCTGCTCTGTATCCCCAGCTTTGTGGGATGAGGGGATAATTGCCCTTTTCTTCCTCCAGTGTTCCTCTTTCTGTCCCTTTCCCACCTTGATGACCCTGCCTTTGGTCTTTCTGTTGCCAAATTGACAGCCTTTGCATCTGTTTTTATCATCATCATTAAGTTGTCTTTATTTTGTTTTTAGGTGGACTCTCGAAAAGTTGAAAGCCACTAGCGAACATTTCCTTTGTTAGGACTCTAAATATTCTCATTGCGGAGCCCAGAAGTGAGCCAGCTTGCTGCAAGTGCATTCTTTCTCTCCATTCATTATCCCCATACCACTCAGAAAAGAAGGCCCCTAGCTTCATGGTCAAGTTGCAATGTGCCATCGGTTCCAAATTTTGCCCTATCTTAGTTAGCTCTGTATTTGGATCATGACTTTCTTGTAGAGTTGCTAATTTTTCTTGCATTTCCTGGTTGAGTTTTTGGTTTCTTGTAAAAAGAAACTCTGGCATCTTCAAAATATCATCCATTCATGCCTTCCAACTTCTTATTTATTCTTCCCATTGCGTGGAATTTGTTTTTTCTCCTTAAAAATGTTAATTTTGGAGTCTCCAAAATTTCAGTTCTTATTGGACTGATTGTATTTTAAACTCACTACACATACATCATCCTGGAATTTCTGAACATTTTAAGTAGCTGGTGTAGGATTTCTGTGTAGCTAGGTAAATACGTCTGTTTACCTCGGGACCTCCTCCCTGAGAGGGTGTCTTCCTAGGAGCTGTGTATGTGAAGCTGGCTGTTGGAATGGGGGACCCCTTATGACCGGAATGAGTGGGGTATAGATAAGAAGCCTTAGGACACTGTATAGGGGTCATTCAGTTCTTTTTTTTTAAAAGATTTTATTTATTTGTTTGAAAGAGAGAGAGAGCAAGTGGGGGCAGAAGGAGAGGCAGAGAATCTGAAACGGACTCCACGCTGAGCACCGAACCTGAGGCGGGGCTCTATCTCATGACCCTGAAATCAGGACTTGAGCCCAAACCATGAGTTGGTTGCTTAACTGACTGTGCCACCCAGGCACCCACTTCAGTTCTTTTTAAAAAGACAAGCCCTGTCTTACTGCCTTGGGAATTGATTCTGACTACCTGCTATTCTTTGCTAGTGTAAGAGAGGATGGCCTGGGAGCTGCAGGCTGCATGCCTTAATACACAAATTTAATCTATGTTTTTAAGCTCCATTTCCACCTGTTGGGGGGTGTGGAGGGGTACTGCCTAGCTAATTGCCTCCTCCTTTGCTCTGTAGTACAACCTTTCCCATGCCTCTTCCAGACCTACTGCGCTCCTGCTTTCCTCTCTTCTGTCAGCACATTTCCATCCAGTTTCCATCTTCCAGAAATCTATTTAATTCACTTGACTGTTGGGGGCCCCCTCTTGCATTCTTGTAACCTGTATTGGTTTATTTCATGTTATTTGGTATTTCACGGGAATGGGGTCTTCAAAGGGAAAGAAGAGTGTTCAGTCCATCATTCTGTACTGGAAGCCTCCAGTGTTTTTTTTCTTTTTTAAGAAAAACATAGATTTAAAAAAAAAACCACTATTTTTAAGTGCAAAAATCACAAATGTTAGGTGATGAGATTTATTGTAAAAATCAGCCAGTCTGCCTGGTGATAAATACTGTTAATTCCACAGCATATTTGTCAGTAGATTCATAGCTCTCATTGAGTAAAACAGATGTTTACATGTTTACTGAGTTAATTTGCCAGTAACATGTTAACGTACATCACAATCCCGTCTTGACTGGAGTTTTTTGGCACCAAATGTCAGATGTTAAAAAAAAGAACAATTTCAAAGATTTAGCTTTTTGAGACTTTACTACCTTATGATATTTTGAAATCATCTTGAATTGGTAACTAGTTCTTCGAACACCCAAGGTTTGAAGGACTGTGGAGGTGTGGGGTGGGGTGTGAGGTTCCATTACTCTTGACTCTCCCGGGTGGAAGATGCCCGAAATCTAATGCTTGTGCTGTTCCTTTCCTTCAGGAAAATCATAAAGTTAAGAAAGACCTTTTAGAAGCACAGACAAACATAGCCTTCCTCCAGAGCGAATTAGATGCTTTGAAAAGTGATTATGCCGATCAGACTCTGAATTCAGAAAGGTATGAAACTTGGCATTTTATTCTTTCATTTGAGCGGGTTGTTTGTCTAGATGGCCATCCATGTGAATGAAGTCAGCTTCGTAATCATAAAGGGTTATTTATTGACCTTGCTGGTATGTTCTTTGCTTTCCAAAGATTTCACTTTCACTGTCCTATTGCCTGGTGGTTTTTGCATTTAAAATTTTTTTAACAACAAGATTAATTAGTATAATTATTGACTGCTTTGGAGAGTGCAGGGCTTAATAGATGTTTGAATTACTGGGAGCAGAAGAGTTTACCTAAAATGTTGGCGGTCAGTGCTAATTGAAGTGCACACACACAGAGGTACATACACACATGTATATGTATGTATGCATTTACATACATATATGTGTATATATATATGCAAATTCCTATGTAAGTATCCATATATATCCATATACCCATATATGTCCATATATATGGATACTTACGTGGGTATTTGCATTCACAGATTTGCATACAAATGCATATATGGAGATATATACACCCAAAATACATACATGTGTGTACATGTGTCTATATAAACTTGTACACTTGGGGAAAATGTCATGCTTTTTGTTTTATTTGTTTGCAAACTTGAATCACAATTAAGGTCCTGTAATGGTCAGCAGTGAAACATTTAAGTACTTATTGTATACAGGTTCCTGACTTATAGAAGGAGTAATGAGTGTGGAATATATGAAAAAAAGAAAAGCAAAGATGCGGTCTCTGCTGTATGAGAAGTTCAGGTTCTTTGAGAAAGCCACGAAGCTGAAAGGTTACGGAGCTTCCTAGTTGCTCAGCAGTGTCAGAAACAATCTCAGCAGTGTTGCTGGTTGGGTCCATTGCCATGTGATGGTAGATAAAATGTCCTTTTTATTCAGAAGAGGTGAAGAGATTTATTAGAGAGGAGACGCTTGAGGTCAGCTTGGGAGGAGCTGGCCTATGCTGATCGGGATTGGGGAGGTCAGGGGCAATGTCAGTGAGGTTATGCAGGCGGCCCTGCCATCTGGCAGGCACTGTGCATAGGACCTTCCTAGCATTATACTCTTGCAATCTATAGAATGTCCCATGAGATACAGACTTTTAGTCTCTCCATTTCAGAGACTCTTAAGAGTCTCAGAGTTGCTCTAAGTGAGCAGTAAGCAAGGCAGAGGCCAGAACACAGGGACAGGTAAGACTGGCTTGGGGAACAGTGCTCAGACATCTGGGTAGGAAAAGGTATTTCAAATGGAAGAGTAAAAGTTAAAAAATGTCTAAAAATTTAAAAGCCAGTTTAAGGCTATAATGCAAGGGCCCAGCATTTTTGGCTAAGGAGCTTGAATTCCTATTGTCAATTGGGAGCTTTTTAAAAAAATTTTATTTTTTAAAAGATTTTATTTATTTATTCTATAGAGAGAGACAGTGAGAGAGAGAACACAAGCAGGGGGAGTCGAAAAGGGAGAAGCAGGCTTCCCAGCAGAGCAGCGAGCCCGATGTGGGTCTCGATTCCAGGATCCTGGGATCATGACCTGAGCCGAAGGCAGACGCTTAATGACTGAGCCACCCAGGCACCCCAGGAACCTTTTCGCTTTATCATCAAGAGACTGAGTGGACAGGTTATTGTGGATGACAGTTGAGAGCCTGAGAGTCTTTGAAAGCGAGTGATGAGGTTTGTCTGCTTAGAAATGAGGCTGGGGCCATAGGGGCTGGTGGTGAGTAACTGAAGTTCTTAGGGGATATTACTAAGAGGAGGCCAGAGCTTTGTAATAAAGCAACAGGAATCGCTGAGCATGGTTTTATGACAGACGGAGAGAGCCTGGTCCTGTGGACTTCTCTTTAGTTTACGGTGAGGAGGGGAAAGCCAGGCAGGGAAAGGAGAAGGAATCACAAGGAAGGAGAAAAATAGCTGGGCTGGGATTGTGTTAAAGCAGAGAAAGAGCAGGGGAGGGTCAAAGTAGAGAGAGCAGGCTGGGTTGAAGGGCCTGGAAATGAGTGCCTGGGGAGAGGGGGTTTAGCAGAAGGTGAAGGGTCATGGTCCTGTGAGGAATGGAGCTGGCTTTGGGAGGGAAAACAAGACCTCGCACAGGAAGCAGAGGGGGGGATATGCAGGAGTGTGGGGCTGCTGACCACATAGAGGGACTGAACGATAGAAAACCATGGCCAAGGACACAGATCTTTGAGAAAGGTGAGGGGGGTCTGGAGGATAGGTGTAAGGCAGGACTGCATACCTAATTCTGGTTCAAACATAAAATATGGTTTTACAGGGATCTGGAAATAATCTGAGAGTACACAGAAGATCGAAATAGTCTTGAGAGGCAAATTGAAATACTCCAGTAAGTTCCCATATAAAACGCTCATTACATTTACATTTTCCTAATGTTTTGTGAATGAGACGTGTGCCCCATGTCACACGAGTGGTCATATTCTCAAGACTGGGTTTGCAGGTCCATGTGGGTTTCTTCTCGCTGTGGTGCATTCAGCACTTGGCCTTCCCCTGCTTTTAATCCTAAATAAACTATTCAGATCCAGGGACTAGAGTATAATTCTCACCCGTCAGGTGAGATGTTGTGACACCTCCATAAGGACTCAGGACTCAGACCTCAGCAGCTGTCTCTGCAGCTCAGCACACCGGGAGGTTGTCAGGAATCTCCTGTTCGCTCATGTCAGAGCACTGGACACCCACGATCATTCTTGCCCAACATACTGTTCTTGGTTAGATGGCTATTTTTCTTAGTTTTTTTTTTTTAACCCTACTGGAAATATTACACCTGCTTATCAACTTCACACCCACGTTACCGTAATTCCATCCTCTGAGGGCCTTCCCCACAAGACCCCCACTCCACTACCTCATCGTTCTCTTCTACCCATGTAAGTTCTGGTTTGTCTCCCCAGATGAAGGAGGACCAGACTTGGCAAGTTTGTTTTCCCCATTTTGAATGATTGTTAAGTCTCACCTGTGGCAGTTACAGAGTTGACATGTTACAGTGATTCTGCTCATTCATTTATTCATTCGTCCAGCAGACTTTATTCAACACCTTTTATGGGTCAGGTATGCCAGGAACTGAGCATAGAATGGCACGTAAAAAGAAAAGAAAAAAGTCTCTCTGTCTCTTTATGGGGCTCATCTAGGGGAATAAGATGGAAACTGATGTCTTATTATAGAAATAAACATTAAGATGCCAAAGAACTGGGATGGGGGGAGGGGTGTGCCTATTGGGAGCATAGAGTTTCCTCCTAACCAGGAAGGTCCAGGAAGTGTTCTCGTGGATGCAGCAACTGAGCTGAGATCTGAAGGATGGATCAGCCTTCAGTAGAGACAGATTGGCCACTCTCAGGCAGAGGCTCTGTTATTGTCCTCAGTTTTTAAAAGAGGTTGCCGCTGCTCTGACAGGTCAGATGACTCCCATCAATGATGTGGAAGGTATATGCCTGCATGGGATTTGAACCCAGAGTCAACATCAGAACATTTCATTGGTACCTGACAGTGCCTGGTGGGCAGCATCAGGCCACATGGAAGACGTGGGAGTAGCCGGGAGAAAGAAGTGTGACATAACACATTGCAACTACGCCTGGCTGGGACACATGCACAGGGACAGAGAGTGGCATGTGGGGCCACTTGAGTCCAGGCATTTAGGAAACAGAGACCTTCAAGAAACCTATTTACACTGCGAAGCTACCTGAGGGAACAGTGGCTTCCAACAGCATAGCTAATTCCTGAGGTAATCCATCAATTAAGTTGTAGTTCTAGTAGTGAATTATGATCTCAGTTTATGAGGTTTGAAGAGGAGTGGTAGAAAGTTGCAAGAGGTGGTAAGTAACTCAGTGTTCTGAACTTCGCAGCCTGTGAAGAAGGTGGTTTTTACCCCAACCCCCCTTATCTGTTTGTTTGTTTATTTGCTGTGTAGAACAGCTAACCGGAAGTTACATGACAGTAATGAGGGCCTTAGGAGCGCCCTTGAAAACAGTTACAGCAAGTTCAACAGATCTTGGGTATGTAGTAGAATTTTATAATACATTCTCTTCTTTCTTATAGTAGAGTGTTTTGATGAAGATCATGTCTTTTCTTAAAGGGGGAACTTACAAAAAGGCGAAACTATTCCATTTAAATAGAGGAGGCAATGTTTTCCCAAATTAAAGAATATGCTACCCTTCTGCCGAGATAAATGCCTGGATGTTCACCAACTGTCTGTTAGCTGTTCAGGGAAACCAGAGAAAGATGTGCAAGGTGTGACCTGGGTCCTGGAAGGGTTTATAGTTTATAGTGTAGTAGGGAGTTCAGATGTGCACAGATAGCAATGATAGAAGAAAAAATGGGAAATTTTATCGAAATAGGATGAAAATACTTCCCATTTCAGAGGAGGGAGAAGGTGCTTCTGGCTGAGGAGTGTGTTTATACACACTGAGTATTCTTTAGGTTGTGAGATGATCAGAGTGGGGGCCTTGGATTTAAAACCCCGCTACAGAAACAAGCTATGCCCGTCTTGGAATTTTGAGGAAATTTTCCTGACTACATGTGTCAGAAATCCTCTTCTCCCACTTTTGGGCGTCAGCTTCAAATTTAGGGTTCCTTTGCCTTAGCTTTAGGCCTTAGCCTTTAGCTCAGTCACTGAGCCAAATTATGGTTTGAGAAGAGATAAATCCAAAGACATTGGTATTCAGAGTCCTAGACAATGCAGGCAACCAGGATGCCCTTTATGGCTCATGCATTGGGATTTGGATCTAAGACACAATGCAAGAGAGTACTACAGGAGTTATCTTGATGTTTGTGCTCACATTTACTCATGTAGGGTACCAAACTTTTTTTTTTTTAATCATTTTTTAAAATTTATTTTCAACATAACAGTATTCATTGTTTTTGTACCACACCCAGTGCTCCATGCAATCCGTGCCCTCTCTAATACCCACCACCTGGTTCCCCCAACCTCCCACCCCCCCACCTCTTCAAACCCTTCAGATTGTTTTTCAGAGTCCACAGTCTCTCATTGTTCACCTCCCCTTCCAATTTCCCCCAACTCCCTTCTCCTAACTCCCCATGTCCTCCATGCTATTTTTTGTGTTCCACAAATAAGTGAAACCATATGATAATTGACTCTCTCTGCTTGACTTATTTCACTCAGTACCAAACTTTTAATTACATTAGAAGTTAATTAGTGTGTTATATATATGTGTGTATATGTATTATGTGTTTATGGAATAACAAAATGTTGCTTATATATTTTATGTATTTCAGCACATAAGTAATATATCACCAGGGAATATAATTTCTAGGAGGAGTCCCAAATTTAATGGTCATTTTCCTCATCCTCTGGGCTATGACAGGTATGGTAATACCTACTTACTTTTCATTTGATTTCTGGATTAGAGTGAAAAGGAAAGTAAACTTCCTTAGAGGGGAGTTAAAACAGTAGAATCTACTTTGGGCACTAATTTCTATTTTCTGCTATCTTATTTAAAATTTCTGAAACCTGTAAAGATTCAAAGTAGAAATGTTTCAGAGAGGGCAAAGTGATTTCCTTAAGACATTGTTATGACTTGATTTTATGTATGCTTCCCCTGACCTCGTTCTCTCACTACATCTTGTTCCTGAGAAGTGAACTCTGAAAACTCTTAGAGGGAAACAAGCAGAACTATAGTGTTGGATGTTGCCATATACGTGGGATAGGATGTTGAGACTCTTGGCATGATCTGCAAATGTTTAATAGCTCAGCATAATATTATGTAAGCTGTGTTCAACGAAACTTTCAAAACAAACAGAAACATGACTAGCAGATGTTTGTGAACTGTTGTATTGAAAGAGTCAGAGAGATTTAACAGAAGTGAGAATTTAGCTCTATTTTGAATCAAATGAAGCGATATATTGGTCCTATGTAACCTGAGATCTGGCGACAAGGACTGAAAGATTACATGTGTGTACTTGTGTGTATAAATACATATGTCCATTGTTATTAGTTAAAAAGTTAAATTTGGGGGATATCAGACCTTGAAAGTAGAAGTTAAGGCATAAGCTATGGGCTTCTAGCTCTCCATTTCCAATGCAACTTTCCAATTCATATTCATTCCCTTTGCATTTGAGATCTTCTGTTCTAAAAATAAAAATGTGTTGAGAATTAAGATGGCAGAGCATTAGGGGGACCCTATGCTTGCCTTGTCCCTCAAACACAGCTAGATAAATATCAGATCTTCCAAATACTCAAGAATAGATCTGAATACTGAGAGAACAAAATGCAGAACTAGAGGGAGAAAACATTGTAGTAGGTAGGAGGTGCAGAGGCATGGTTCTGGAGATCTTTCCATAGAAACCTGGCAGGCCAGTGGAGAGTGGCATGATATATTCAACATGCTGGGAAAAATATGCAGCCAAGAATACTTTATCCAGCAAGACTAGCATTCAAAGTAGAAGGAGAGATAAAAAGTTTCCCAGACAAACAAAAACCAAAGGATTTCCTGAACACAAAATCAGCCCTATAAAAAATACTAAAGGGGACCCTCTCTGTGGGACAGAAAGACCAAAAGTAACAAAGACTAGAAAGGAAGAGAGAATCTTCAGAGGCAGCAAATTTACAGGAATACAATGGCATTAAATTCTTATCTATCAATAATAACTCTGAATATAAATGAATGAAATGCTCCAGTCAAAAGATATAGAGTATCAGAAGAGATAAAAAAACAAGACCCATCAATATGCTCCTTCCAAGGAACACATTTTAGACCTAAAGTCCCCTCCAGAGTGAAAATGAGGGAATGGAGAATGATCTATCATGCTAATGGACATCAAAAGAAAGCTGGAGTAGCCATACTTATATCAGATATGATAAATATTAAACCAAAGACTATAACAAGTGATGAAGAAGGGCACTCTATCATAATTAAGGAGTCTATCCAACAAGAAGATCCAACAATTGTAAATATTTATGCCCCCAACTTGGGAGCACCCAAATATATGAACCAATTAATAACAAAATAAAGAAACTCATTGATAATAATACAGTAACAGTAGGGGATGCTAAAACAATCCTCATGCAGCATTGGGCAGATCATCTAAGCAGAAAATCAACATGGAACCAGTGGTTTTGAATGACACACTGGACCAGATGTACTTAACAGATATACTCAGAACAATTTATCATAAAGCAGGATAATATATATTCTTTTCAAATGCCGATGGAACATTCTCCAGAATAGATCACATACTGGGTCACAAATCAGGCCTCAACAAGTACAAAAGGATTGAGATCATACCATTCATATTTTCAGACCACCATGCTATATCAACTTGAAGTCAACCACAAGAAAAAACTTGGAAAGATCACGAAGATCAGGAAATTAAAGAAGAAATTTAAAAATGCATGGAAGCAACTGAAAATTAAAACATGGTAGTAAAAAACCTTTGAGATAAAGCAAAAGCAGTTATGAGAGGGAAGTAAATAGCAATACAGGCCTACCTCAAGAAGCGAGAAAAGTTCCAAATACTCAATCCAATCTTACTCCTAAAGGAGCTAGAAAATGAACAGTAAATAAAGCCTAAAGCCAGAAGAAAAGGGGAAATAATAAAGATTAGAGCAGAAATAAACAATATGAAACAAACAAAAAACAATAGAACAGATCAATGAAACTAATAGCTAGTTCTTTGAAAGAATTAATAAAATTGATAAACTCCTATCCAGACTTATCAAAAGAAAAGGATAAAGGATAAATTAAATCATGAAAGAAAGAGGAGAGATCACAACTAATACCACAGAAATAGAAATAATTATAAGACAATATTGTGTATTATATATCACATGCCAACAAATTGGGCAATCTCGAAGAAATGGATAAATTCCTAGAAACATACAAACTACCAAAACTGGAACAGGAAGAAATAGAAAATTTGAACAGACCCATAACCAGGAAAGAAATTGAACCAGTAATTAAAAACCTCCCAACAAACAAAAGCCCAGGGCCAGATGGCTTCCCAGGGAAAGGGTTTTGCCAGAAGTTTAAAGAACAGTTAATACCTATTCTTCTCAAACTGTTCCATAAAATAGAAATTGAAGAAAAACTCCAAACTAATTCTACAAGACCAGTATTACCTTGATCCCCAAACCAGACAAAGACCCCCCCCCAAAGAGAGGAATTACAGGCCAATCAATATCCCTGATGAACGCAGATGCAAAAATTCTCAACAACATATTAGCAAATTGAATCCAACAGCACAGTAAAACAGATTTTCACCATGATCAAGTGGGATTTATTCCTGGACTGCAGAGATGGTTCAATATTCACAAATCAATCAGTTGATAAAAGTAAGGATAAGAATTATAGGATCCCTTCAATAGATGCCAAAAAAGCATTTAATAAAATACAGCATACATTCTTGATAAAAACCCTCAACAAAGTAGGGATAGATGGAACATACCTCAACATCATAAAGGTCATACATGAAAGACCCACAGCTGATATCATCTTCAAAGGGGAAAAACTGAGAGCTTTCCCTCTATGGTCAGGTATAAGACAGGGATGCCTGCTCTCACAGTTGTTATTTAACATAGTACTGGAAATCCTGGCCTCAGGAGTCAGACAACAAAAAGAAAAGGCACCCAAATCAACAAGTAAGAAGTAAACATTCACATTCACAGATGACATGATACTTTAACCAAAAAAATTACTAGAACCAGTAACATGAATTCAGCAAAGTCAAAGGATATAAAATCAATGTACAGAAATCTGTTGCATTTCTATACACCAATAATGAAGCAGCAGAAAGAGAAGTCAAGGGATAGATCTCATTTACAATTGTACCGAAACCGTAAGATACCTATGAATAAACCTAACCAAAGAGGTAATAGATCTGTACTCTGAACACTATAGAACACTTATGAAAATAAACCTAATCAAAGTGGTAAAAGATCTGTACTCTGAACACTATAGAACACAGAAAATATATTGAGGAAGGCACAAAGAAATGGAAAAACATTCCATGCTCATGGATTGGAAGAACAAATATTGTTAAAATATCTATGCTACCCAAAGCCATCTACACATTCAGTACAATCCCTATCAAAATACCACCAGCATTTTTCACAGAACTAGAACAAACAGCCCTAAAATTTGTATGCAAAGAGAAAACACCTCAAATAGTCAAAAGTCTTGAAAAAGAAAAGCAAAGGGGTGCCTGGGTGGCTCAGTCAGTTAACTGTCTGCCTCAGCTCAGGTTATGATCCCAGGATCCTGGGATTGAGCCCTGGTTTGGGCTTCCTACTCAGTGGAGAGACCACATGCCCCCCTCCCTTTGCCCCTCCCCCACCATGCTCACATGATCTTTCTCACTTTTGTGTACTCTCTCTCAAATAAATAAACAAAATCTTTAAAAAAAAGAAGAAGAAGGAGAAGGAGAAGAAGAAAACCAAAGCTGAAGGCATCGCAATTCTGGACTTCAAGCTCTATTACAAAGTTTTCATCATCAAGATAGTATGGTACCGGCACAAAAGCAGACCCATAGATCAACGGAGAAGAATAGAAAATCCAGAAACAGACCCACAACTATGTGGTCAACTAATCTTTGACAAAGCAGGAAAGAATGTCCACTGGAAAAAAGTCTCTTCAACCAATGGTGTTGGGAAAACTGAACAGCCACATGGTGAAGAATGAAACTGGACCATTTCCTGACACCACACACAAAAATAGACTCAAAATGGATGAAAGACCTGAATGTGAGATAGGAAACCATCAAAATCCTAGAGGAGAACACAGGCAGAAACCTTTTAAACCTTAGCCATAGCAGCTTCTAACCAGACACATCTTCGGAGACAAGAGAAAGAAAAGCAAAAATGAACTATTGGAACTTCATCAAGATAAAAAGCTTCTATACAGCAAAGCAAACAGTCAACACAACTAAAAGGCAACTGACATAATGGGAGAAGATATTTGCAAATGACATATCTGATAAGGGATTAGTATCCAAAATCTATAAGGAACTTAATCAAACTCAACACCCAAAAATAAATAATCCAGTTAAGAAATGGGCAGAAGTCGTGAATAGACATTTTTCCAAAGAAGACATACAAAATGGCTAACAGACACATGAAAAGTTGCTCAAGATCATTTATTATCAGGGAATTACAAATCAAAACCATGATGAGATACCACCTCACACCTGTCAGAATGGCTGAAACTAACAACACAGGAAACAAATGTTGGTGAGGATGTGGAGAAAGAGGAACCGTCTTACACTGTTGCTGGGAATGCAAACTGGTACAGCCCCTGTGGAAAACAGTATGGAGTTTCCTTAAAAAGTCACAACAGAATTACCCTGTGACCCATCAATTACACTACTAGATATTTACCCAAAGGATATAAAAATACTGATTTGAAGGGGTAGGGGTACATGCTCCCTAATGTTTATAGCAGCATTATCAATAATAGCCAAATTATAGAAAGAGCCCAAATGTCTGTCAACTGATGAATGGAAAAAGAAGAGGTGGTATAAATATATATATATATTTATATATATATATATATATTGTATATATATATTGTATATATATATATATATATATACAATGAAATATTGGTCATCAGAAGGAATGGAATCTTGTCATTTGCTGCAATGGTGATGGAACTAGAGTGTATTGTGCTAAGCAAAATAACTCAGAAAGACAAATACTGTATGATTTCACTCATATGTGGAATTTAAGAAACAAAACAGAAGAACATAGGAGAAGAAAAACAATCAAAAGAGAGAGAAAAGCAAATCATAAAAGACTCTTAACTATAGAGAGAAAACTGAGGGTTGTTGGAGGGAAAACAGTGGGGGATGAGCTAAATGGATGATGGGTGTTAAGGAGGGCACTTGCTGTAAATAGCAATGGGTATTACATGTAAGTCATGAATCACTAAATTCTACTCCTGAAACCAATTTTACCATATATGTTAACTAGCCAGAATTTAAATAAAAACTTGAAATCAACAAAAAAATAAAGAATAATGTTCTTAACTACCCTGGCAATAGCAAAATGGTCAGGAAGGTTTATTACCAGGGCTTATTGGTGATCACTTTTAGGAAAATGCTATACAGGTATCAGATGTTTTTATTGTCATTGATTTGTGACATAAAAAATGTTGATGGTTTGTAGACATGTAGGCAGCTCAGTTGCTCTGTTATTGAGAAAAAGACATTACTTTTAAAAAACTGTGGGGAGGGGCACCTGGGTGGCTCAGTGGGTTAAAGCCTCTGCCTTCGGCTCAGGTCATGATCTCAGAGTCCTGGGATCGAGTCCCACATCGGGCTCTATGCTCAGCAGGGAGGCTGCTTCCTCCTCTCTCTCTGCCTGCCTCTCTGCCTACTTGTAATCTCTGTCTGTCAAATAAATAAATAAAATCGGAAAAAAAAAACCTGTGTGGGTGCAGCGTGATTTTTCTGGACTGATATTTAAGACCGATTCTAAGCACATAGGGGAAAAGATACATTACTGAAAATTTTTTCAGAAATTTTACCATGGTTCATTTTGGAAAAGATTACACACTATGAAAAAGGCTCATTGGTACTGGATTAAGAACTCCTCAAGAGTAGGTTCTGAGGGACAAAGTCATCACACCCCAGTGGCTCAGAGGGACAGAAGTAGAGCACTCTTGTTCTCATCACCCTGAATAATAACCAGCGGGCCACCAGGGTCTGGACTGATGTCCTTTTGGAAGGTCATTATTTTAATATCAGAAGTTTAATATCAGAAGTTTTTGATGCTAATATAAAAACTTAAAAGCATGTTTTAAATTTAATTTTATTGCTTTTGTGACCTTACTGGATTTTAACTTATATACTTGTTTTAGTTTTGTGTTTTTCTAAGATTTGTAACAAAAATATAGCTTGTTCTATATTTGTACTGTTGGGTCCGTTATCAAAGGAACAAGACTGAGACAAAGTGAAAGTAATGCAAAGCCTTATTCTACGCCAAGCATTAGAAGTTAGACTGACCAGCCAGGGGCAGACTGACCGGCCAGGGCTCTCCGAAGAGAGTGACCACCCCTTGGTCTTACAGGCTAGTTTTATAGGGCACAAACGCAGACATCTACATATGTGGCTTTGGCTGACTGGATGTTTCCTACCTGTGTGTTTTAGTAACGGTTACCTGGAACCAATACTAGTAACTGCTGAGGCATTTATTAAACAACAAAATGGCCTTGTTTTAGGTATGTGTTTTAGCAACATTACCCAGAACTGGTATCAGTAACTGCTGAGGCATTTATTAAACAACAAAATGGCTACCTAGGCAACATGGAGTCACTATGGCTAAGCAGGCCCAGGCAGGCCCTAGGGGTTTAACAGGTTTTAACGTGGAATCGGCCCCAATAGTACATACTACTTATGAAAATATTTTTTGGGCAGGTAAGAATAGTTTACTTTTTTAAAGGGTATATATATGTTCACTTTGAGAAAATCTGATGTGTACCTATATATTAAATTTAGAGTCTAGATACTCATGGAAGTGATTTCTCAATTCTGTATTTCACTTCTTTCCCTCTTATCAAAAATCTGAATGTTTTTTTAAAAAGGTCTGATTAATAATGATATGGAGTTGAAGGAGTTTGTACTATATTATAATGAGAATGGTTTTCTTAGGTTCCTTATAGTGTGGCTAAAAGTTTTAGAAGGGTAATTTCATAAATGATGAAACAACAAAAAAATGTTGTTAACTAGAGCTATGGTCTGAATATGTGCCCCCAGGATAAAAACTTTGTAATTAAGTAACATATTTAGGGAGAGTTTGGTGGTTCTTACTTTTTTAGTTAATTTTAAGCATTTGCTAATGGTACTAAAATAGTTTTTTTAAAGATTTATTTATTTATTTTGGGGAGAGAGCACATGAGCGGGAGGGGAAGAGGGAGAGAGAGCTTCAAGCAACATGGGACTCCATCTCACAACACTGAGATCATGACGTGAGCCGAAACCAAGAGTCCGACACTTCGCCGACTGCGCTACCCAGGCACCCTGGCACCAAAATATTTTTGACTTCTCAGACTTATGTCACTTATACTTATTTATATTGAGATCACCCTCTGTTTTCTGAACATATTCGTCTCTTACTGTTTTTATCTCTGTGGACTATATACTCTGCCCATTTCCTCACTCTGATGAGACAGTGTTTGCCAAGTGACCCAAGATGGTGCTCCAGTGTAATGGAGACTAAACAGGCTGTGGCCCTTGTTCTTCTTTTCTTTTCTTTTCTTTTCTTTTCTTTTCTTTTCTTTTCTTTTCTTTTCTTTTCTTTTCTTTTCTTTCTTTTCTTTTCTTTTCTCTTCTCTTCTTTTCTTTTCTTTTTTCTTTCCTCTCCTCTCATCTCCTCTCCCCTTCCCTCTCCTTCCTTCCTTCCTTCCTTCCTGTTTTTGTTGTTCCTCCTCTTCCTCCCCCATCCTCCTCCTCCTCCTCCTCCTCCTCCTCCTCCTCCTCCTCCTTCTTCTCCTCCTCCTCCTCCTCCTCCTCCTCCTCCTCCTCCTCCTCCTCTTCCTCATGATGGGGGGAGGAGCAGAGAGAGACCTCCACCCTGAGCACAGAGCAACCTCCACCCTGAGCACAGAGCCCAATGTGGGGCTCAATCTCAATGACCATGAGATCACTGTGCCAAAATCAAGAGTCTGACACTTAACTGACTGAGCCATGCATGTGCCCCATTATTTCAGTATAAACAGGTTTTTGGGAAAATCAAATGGAAAAGCAAAAGTAAATAGGGAAATAATGCGGTTTCTTTTGATTCTTTTGTTGGATGTTAATTTCTCCCTTACTTATAAGATGTTAGAGAGTTTCACAAATGGAAACATCCATAGAAGCCAGGGGTTCCTGCTTTTATCTGGGAGACCTCCCTGTGAAACTTCTTCTACAAGCGTCTTACTAGACTATGTGTCAACACCTAGTGGCAGAAAACTCCCTGTGTCATATTCTGGTACCACACCTTTCTAATTGCCTGTCATTTTTACCATGTTGATTAGAAACATGACTCCCGGGATGCCTGGGTGGCTCAATGGGTTAAAGCCTCTGCCTTCAGCGCAGGTCATGATCCCAGGGTCCTGGGACTGAGCCCTGCATCAGGCTCTCTGCTCAGCAGGGAGCCTGCTTCCCTTCCTCTTTCTCTGCCTGCCTCTCAGCCTACTTGTGATCTCTCTCTCTGATAAAAGATAAATAAAATCTTAAAAAAAAAAAAAGAAATATGACTCCTAGAAAAGTTTATCAGTTGGCCCTTATTTTGTCTTGTGAAACCTAGGAGAATGTATTCTTCATCTTCATGTGTCAGCTTCTCTGATGATTTGAAGAGGGACACCAATAAGACTGAAGTTGAGCTCATGGCACAGTTTCTTGTGTCTAAGGGTTTTGAGTCTCATGGTCATCATGGTTACGTTTCCCATCTAGGTTGTCAGCATCCCTTTTAAAAAGTAGAGCTGTTATCCAGAAATGGACGAGCTATTTGGAGTCTGGTCTGACCACATTAGAGTAAAAAGGTTCACATGTCCTGCATACATTTTTCTTAACTTGAGATTGCATTTATGCTCTGGACACTGCAATTCCTTTCTTATTAGGAAATATGGAATGTGATTTTTAAAAATGGCTTCATTTTTATTAAATATTAGACTTGAGTGTCTTTATTTTAATTGATTGTTGCATAGAATGAGCTGGTGTTGCTCTGAACATTTTGTTTCCCCTGATGTATAGTCATGGACTACATTGTGATTCTTGGCAAAAGGGAGAGTTGTTGGTCTTCTTGAGTCCATTGCTGTGTAGTCCTGAGCTTTGTGAACTCTCGGGTAGAGCTGTCTTCTCCTTTATCACCAGGTCACCCCGCTCCTCCTACGTGGATGAGGACTGTGACTCGTTGGCCCTCTGTGACCCTATGCAGAGGATGAATTGTGAGGTGGAAAGCCTTCCTGAGAGCTGCTTTGACAGCGGTTTGTCTACCCTGAGAGACTCCAATGAATATGACTCGGAGGTGGAATACAGGCACCAGAGGGTGCCTCAGAGGTCACATGGCACGCAGGAGAGCTTTGGGGGTGATGCTTCAGACGTAGACATAAGCCCCAGAAATCACTGTCTCCTGGGCCATACCTTCTATAGAAATCTATCACCCTGTTTGACTTGTATCTGTTATGGGAATATGACTTAAAGGTTATAAATATGAAATATAGTCAGTTTTAGAATGTATTTTTCTTTATCAGGGTAGGGAGAAATTTTCACAGATTACCATTTGGGGCTACTCTGTTCCATAACAGAACTGACTATAGATTCATCTGCATATTTTTCTTTTCTTTAATCCATAATATATATGTGTAATGAGAGACTTTGTTTTTTAATGGCTGACTAAAAAAAATAATAATAATAACAAAAAACAGGTTCCTGATATAAGGGATGAAGAGACATTTGGTGCCGAAGGTGTGGCTGCCATCTTAGACTGGAAACCCCAGGGGTCCACTAGTGAGGGCAGCGTCATCAGTTCTTCAAGAAAGCCCATCTCAGCTCTGTCACCACAGGTAGGTAGTTTCTGGGATATTTTATTCATGAACACTGTGAATTTTCAGTGCCTTATAACTTATTAGGAAGACAACTGGCCCGACCTTTGTCACCCACTGTTGCTTTGTCCCCCTAGACAGACATGGTGGATGGCGACCATAAATCTTCCAGTTTACAGAAGGCTTACGAGATTGTGCTTGCTGGGGATGCTGCAGTGGGGAAGTCTAATTTCCTTACGAGGCTCTGCAAGAATGAATTTCGAGGAAATACAAGTGCCACCCTGGGTATGGTTCCTTCTCTAGTTGGTAATAGGGAAATGACCTTCTTTTAGCTTGATTTTATTTTCCATAGAAACTATATGCACAGATCTCTCTGTATACATATATAAAATATAGGGGTGTGTGCGTGTGTGTGTGTGTATCCTTATCTACAGAATGGTCTTCAGTTTCGGTGAAGGCCCAACTTTAGGAAAGGAAGACTGACAACGGACAGAGGTATCCACTTAGCCAGTCAGAGCAGCCAGACCAAGCTTAGAGCCAGAGATGACAGATTAATTTATTCAGCAGACATTTCCTGAGTTCTCCTAGGAGCACGATACTGCTGTAAGTGCTAAGGACAGACAATGAACAGAGGCAACTAAATCCCAGCCTGCAAGGAAACTTCACCCCAAAGGACAGCAATGGGTGAAAAAAAGATGAGGTTTGGAGAGAGGTGCAGTTTTATACTGGGTGACCGGGGAAAGCTTTTCTGATAAGCTGTCACTTGGCAAAGTGACATTGTTGATAGCCACTTTGTCATGGTCAAAATCATAGCCCGGTGTATGATCCCTTCCCCTCTTTTACAGCGGAATACATGAGTAAGCAGTTCTGAGAACAAGAGAGGAAGTGTCCTGATTTCCCAAATTTGCATACTAATCAGTAAAAGGAGTTGAAGGTTTGCAAATTATCGTTCACCTTTCTTCTTTATCTAAAGAGTTCTTATTTTGATGATGAGAAATATTAGAACAGATTGATTATAGCCTCTTCACAATGGGCGTCTTTGTAAATTCAGGGTTCTTCATCATACCCCTGAAGATAATAAATCTGCAAGTTCAGTTTGATTTGGTTCCTGAAAAGACCACCGTGTTTTGTTCAGTTGCTCAAGAGCATGGTGTATATGCACACCTCCCACGTATCCACACACAGATACATGCACACGTACACACGTCCACATGCACACAAGCACACACACATAAACACGCAGAGACATACTGACTTCATGTAATCACACGGACAAACAGAACGTAGATTTTCCTTTTGTCTGTAGCTGAAAGCCTTTCCCAGCTCAGCCAACCTGCAGAGGGTGCCTCTGTGCACACATGTGTGTTCTGACTTGTAATTAGTGGTTGAAGGTCGCTCTCCTTGAAGGCTGCATTCATCCCTCTCTACCTCATTGAGCTTTGGCTTACTGGCTTTTGTCTTATCTACAGAGGGCTTGAGAGTCAAAACCGGTGAAGTTATTTACATCATGGTCCCTACGTTCTCTTGTAATTCCCTTTCAGGAGTCGATTTTCAGATGAAAATTCTCCTTGTGGACGGAGAGCACACAGTCCTGCAGCTCTGGGATACGGCTGGTCAGGAGAGGCAAGTGCTTCCCACAGCGCTGAGGGCTCACCTTCGGTCTGCATGGACGAGCCTTGTTGGGACGCTTGGTGGTTTTTGATGCTCATAATCCTATAATTATAATACACTGTGTAATTACATAGTGCGTTAGGATTTTGGGAATGTTTGTATGTCCCCACATTCTTTCCTCCTTCATTTACCTGTTAGTTGTGTGTGGAGGTCTTCAGGCTTCCTCTGAGCCGCTGTTCAGTTGGGAAAAGGAGAGTGCCCTTTCTGAAGGAGGGAACGTAGGTGAGGCAGCACTCCTGGAATGCAGTGTCAGTGTGAGGAGGCACTTAGCCAGGCTCAATAAAAGACAGAAAAGGGAATCTGTCAGCTCCCCTCCATTCAAGGGCAGAGGGACCAACTAAGTAGAAGACTAGTGTCTGGTGACCTTGCCTTCTCCTGCATGCATTGCCGATGACCAGAAGGATCAAGTGTAGGTTTTATTCCTGCCCAACTCTTCAAAAATGGCATCTCTCCAGTTGCTCAGCTAGCGAGTATGGGCTGCGTACCCATATGTGACCGTACCAGGCACCATTTAGGCTCCAAAGATTCAACAGGAAACAGACACAAATCCAAAAAACCTGCTTGCAGGGAGCTCGCATTCTCTAGGACACTGAGCCTTCCAATATTTAAAAAACATTTGTAGTCGACGTGGCCTTTTTAAAGATGCTATCAAGTGTTGTAGTTGGTTTAGAGTTGGAACACGCACGCAGGGGTGTGCTCTTGGGCTAGTGAACCAGCCACGTGCCGTGTGTGTAAAGCTGGCATGCTGTGGCACTCCGCTTCGTAGGCCCTCTTCCATGCCACCCCCCTTCCCAGTACTCCCTCCCCACCCCCAGACCATAATGATCTCTCTCAGGCCTCTCCTTTCCTCCTTCCCTGTGTCCCACACATAGGTTTGGGAGCTTGTTGCAGGGGCTGAAATTTTTAGAAATTATACTCTCAGCCTTGTCCTGGTTATACTTTGGGTTCGTAGATATTCTTGGAGAAATTGTTTGGCTCTCATAGGTCATACCCCCAAATTATTCTGTTACCCTCCACTGAGTCGTTCCAGCCCTCTGAGGTGGCTCTGTCCCAGTGCAAGGTTGCCATGAGATTCTTCTAAATGGAGGCGTATCTTAGAAAAGGAGAAAAAAGTGAGAATGAAAGAGATGAAGAAGGGGTAGCACCTGACCAACAGGCTGATTAGAACTGGTATTTACACGCTTTCCTCTTTGCCAGGTTCAGAAGTATCGCCAAGTCTTACTTCAGAAGAGCAGATGGCGTTTTGCTGTTGTATGATGTTACGTGCGAGAAAAGCTTTCTCAATGTTCGAGAATGGGTGGACATGATCGAGGTAAGATATCAAAACACAGCAACAAACAAAAAAACTACACGGGCGTCATGGGCTATCTTAGAAGATGCGGTTTCTCTTCTTTGTTGACATGCGCACCATTAGAGAGCATTGACTGGGTGTGAGAGGGGGAGTGTCTCATGGCACTTGGCAGTATTGGTCTCTTCCTCGGTAGCCAGGCGAGTTTCCCCAGAGCCGTGGATACCACTGAAGGGAGCTTCTGGGAATAAAACTTCTGGTTTTCTTACAGATAAAATCAGAACCCCTCTGGAAGTAACTGCAAATGTGGGCAACCTGAGAAGAAGCAGCTCTTAATGCCTGGGGTGGTGTGTATGTGACTGGGTGTGCACGGGGCCCCCATGTGTGCCAGATATGAGCATGTACAAGGCCCAGCTCTGTTAGTACCTGTGTCCTCAACCTTATTCTGGTGGTAATTTGAGTGCCCCTGAAATACCAAGTGTTTTGGTTTTGTTTTGTTTTGTTTTGTTTTTTTAGAGTCTCAAAAATCAGTAAATTTTTTTTTTAAGCAAGTGGTATCTTAAACATGGTGACAACTGTGCTGCCTTTTTTGTTGTTGTTGTTAAATGAGATAGTGTCTTTCATCTGAGGAGCTTTCATATCCTTTGGTTTCATGGTAAATAATTTCTAGAAGTAGGAAATGATTTTGACCACACTTAGTGTGCTGCCAAAGGGTTATTAATTTACATAAAATTCAGTTCAAGCTGTGGTTCAATATACTCTCTTGGAAAAAAAACTAGTGGCTAATAGAATTTTTCAAATAAGTGTATTATCTCTAATTTTTAACAGGCATTAAACAGTGCAGCAATGACTAAACAGAGAACTGATTGCTGTATATCAGCTTAGCTTCTAGAGTCTTCCATTGGGCCTATTTTATACCCTGTAAGAAAATAGAATTATATTCTCTTTCTAACTGAAGAAATGATTTGAGAAATGACAAATGTGCATTTTGTACTAGCAAAATATCATGACCTAAAATTATTATAAATATGATGCAAGTGTGTTGACGTTTATGTAGCATTTTTACTTCACAAAATTTCCACATGTTATATACATCTTTGTAACATATCCGAGGAAAGAAGTAAGATATGTAATGTTACTCTCATTTTTTATGAGAAACCTGAGTTGGAGAAAGTGTATGACCCTGGTTTGTGGTTATTTAGAGGGGAGGGGTTGAAGGGGGCCTTGGATCTCCTGAGTCAGCCCTGGTTGCTGCTGTGATAAAGAGCCAGAGTAAGCAGCAAGTTGAGAAAAGAAGCTTTTGGTGTCCAGAGTGGAGTTCTGAGGTACATTCCATGCACAGAGGAGAAGCGTTTGCTCGCAGGAACAGACGGACCTCCCTGGGGTAGAACGATGAGTCCAGAGAATAACATCATCCCAATGGACTCATATACACAGAAAATTTAAAATCCAGAGCAAAACCTTTTATTGTTAAAACTTTTGGACGTTGTCTGCATTTTAAGTCTTTGCATGATGCACAAGGACTGGCGGCCCAAAGGCAAGGGCAGTCACAGTGTTGAAATAGCCGTTGGTGACCACTATAGCTGGTGTGCCAGGACCCCATCATTTGCCATCATTTGCTAATCACCTACACTTGGTAAGTGACCTTTACAGCTCACTTTTACAGATCACCTTTCACAGGGTCTGAAAAGGACAAAAACTATATTCAAGATGAACTCTTGAATTTGTCATGGGGAAAAATTAGATACTACTTGGCATTTGACTTCTACCTTTGGGAAAAAAGGGCATGACAAACCTTTCCCATGGCCCTTTCTAATTGGAGGACATTCTGTGGGGACAGTTTATGTGGCCACTAGAGATACAGGTGGAAACTGAGAGTGTAATTGTTGGGATAGGCCCAAGGGCTGAGGGGTAATGGAATGTCAGTGGTGAATTAATAATTAATACTTTTTGATAAAAATCACTGAATTACAAAATGTGCAATAAAATCATGGGTAAAATTAAATGATGGCCATTTACTTACCTGTCATAAATAATGTATTGGTTGAATGCTTGGGTGAACGTTGAATTGAGACACTTGAGACGTGAGATCTCTAACTGACTTTTTCACATTCCGGAGTATTTTTGGAGTCCCTCCTTTGTGCAGGTTCCAGAGCCTGGAATACGCCCACAGTAGGGGAGCTTGTATCCGAGTAGGGGAAACATAATAAGCAACAAACAAGTAAATAAAATAAATGGAATGATAGAGAATGATAAATATTGTGGACACAAGAAGGCAGAGTAAAGGGCCTGATGGTGTGGTCAGGGCAGCCTCCCTGGAAGGTGCTGTTCGAGATAAGACTGGAAGGAGTTGCCCGTATTTACTGACATAACTTAAGGAAGTCACTTAGATGCTTGGGTTCTTGGCTCACTTAAGTGAGTGTTTGTTGAGCGGCTTCCAAAGTTGCCCCCTTGGAACCTGAACAGTTTGCAGGAGAACAGGGTTAATGAACACATCGATGGACAGGGCACCTAGTTTGAGGGACGGCCCTCCATTCCCATCTCCCCTCTGCTGTTACTACACTGTGGTGCCCTTGGTCGGAGGAGAACGGTCTGAAGAGAAGGGAAATCAGCTGTTTTCATCGTTTTCAAGGTTCGTTTCTTGATCCTGTGGCAGGTGTAACACCAAACCGAAAGCACAACTAGTACCTGGAGGCCTGGCAGAGGGTCACGGTCAGGGCTGCTGCTGCTGCTCTTGCGTGGGAACCAGAACCCTGTTTTTCTGGGCCAGTCAGGCTAGCTTTCTCTGTTCTTATTAGAGCCTGCTGAGGTGCGATGTGCCCTTACTAACCCCTTCATTTTACCAGTGGGGAAACTGAGGCAGAAACATGAAGCGTTTCACCTGATTTCTGGGCCACAGCCGGTATAGTGGCCAGGTGGTGGGAGGGGTGGCCTCCGATGCAGCTCTGTTCCCCATGTTTCACGTGGACCTGCAAAGGTGGATTTGGGAGCATTCGCCTTAGAATTGAGTCCTTCGAATGATCGGTAATTGACTCCTCGTAAGAAAAATGTTAACCTTTAGGACCTTCACATTTTGCTTTTGTTGTGAACAGGACTGCAGTGAGTGTGGAACGCCCACGTTCTGTTTTTATCCCGTTATGGCTGAGGGATCTTCCTGTGTGTTTTGTGCCTGAGATAATGAAGTTGACTTGTTATCAGCACCGTTTGGAGTGAAAGTCACAGAAAATTGTGTGGGTGCCACAGCCAAATATAGCTCTGTGGTTATGCCCCTTGAGTTCATACTGGTTCGTATGGTGGCAGGGGTGATGGGGAGCGTTTGCACCGTGGCCCTGGCCTTTGCAAATTCTTGTTTAACCTCTCGGAATTTCAGTGATTTCACTTGGTGATGGGAAGAAGTTTGGCTCTCTGTAGAGAGATTTTGAGGCAGGAAGATATGACCTCCAGGTCATGCAGAACCCACGGGGTATTTGGAGAGTGGAAGCTGCTGTTGTCAGTGGAACTTGTTCAGTGTTTGATGAACACACAGCATTTTTTCCCTTGGCAGGATGCAACCCGGGAGCGTGCTCCGATCATGTTGGTAGGAAACAAGGCTGACCTCCGTGATGCTGCTGCAGCAGAGGAACAGAAGTGCATCCCAGGATACTTGGGAGAAAAACTGGCCATGGTAAGGGTGAAATGGGGCTGTTGGAATAGACGTAGCCGTTCATGAGCTTTGAAGTTGGTGACCCTTCACTCCCGTCTACGTTCGCTTAACAAGGTTCTTTGACAACCCTTCACCCCTTCCGATGGGACTACTGGCCTTCTTATTCAGGCAGAACTCCCAGTGTCCCTGCCGTTTATTTTTTATTTTTATTTTATTTTTAAAAATTCATTTATTTGAGAGTGAGAGAAAGAGCACGCAAGAGGATGAGCAGGGGTGGGGAGTGGAGGGGCAGAGGGAGAGGGAGAAACAAGCTCCCCACTGAATAGGGAGCCTGACATAGGGCTTGATACCAGGACCTGAGCAAAGGCAGAAACTTAACTGACTACGCCACCCAGGTGCCCTCCCGACCCCCACCCTCGCCACACACACTTTAATGAATGTAAGTAATTGTACCAAGGATTAAACCTCTCATGGAGGTAAAATGATCACTTGGGCAATTTTCCCCATTGAACAACGTTGACAAAGGAACCAGAAGTATCCTGCCTTCCTCCTCACCCTCGGCCAGCTCCTGGACTCCTCCTAGTTCTGGAATCCACGTCAAGGAAAAATAATGGGTGTCCTGTTTAGAAAACATGGTTTAGTTCCAGAAGGCTACTGTGCCAAAGGGCAGTGTGTGACCTGGCTGGAAGAGAATTTGGAAAGTTGTTTTTTTCTCTAAGATTTGTGCTTAGTTGAATAGTCTAAAATTATTTTTGGTTGTGCGCTTGTAAAGAACATGAGGCTCATTTTGATCCAGTTTATTACTGGGGCAGCATTTATTCTCCCATTATTATCAGTGTGTGAGGCTGCTCCAGGGCCCCCTTTGGACCTGTCTTTCCCAAACATGGCATCAGAGGCACCTGCGGGTGGCTAAGTCCACGCCATTGCAGTCTGATTTGATACGGCTGCCTCTCTGGTCTGCTTTAGCCCATGGACAGCCTGCGCTGTAGTATGGCACGTGGACTGTAAAAGCAAGGGTCAGTGCCACTGTTTTAAGTTGGAAAATCTTTCTTGTTTTAAGTTTTAAAACTATGAACCAAACATGCTAAACATCAGAGCTAGGCAGCAAAGCACAGAAGAGATTCATTCAACACGTTTAATCATATGCACTTGATTGTGTGTGGAGGAAAGACTGGAGCACACAACAGACAGTCCGTGTCTTCATGTAGTTCATTTCTGGGGGATACGCGGGGAATGTATGTAATCCACGTGCCACATTGTCCCACTCGCCCCCTTAGAGAGCATGTGATTCCCCGCCACATGCCAGGTTTATCCCCTCCTCACGATTTCAGACTTCCCAAGGTTTGCTCACTTATGCATCTTGTGACCCCTACCTCCTGTAGCCTCAGAGAGACCCTCCATGTCACCCCATAACATCCTAGCCATAAAACTTGGAAACAGCGCTACGCATTTCCACTAGAAATTCATTCACATTCATTGTAAAATTTTTATAGATTTTCTGTGGAATTTTTATAGATTTTCCCCAGGCTCATGGGTAAAGGTCCCACTATGGACTCTTACCCCCTCCTTTTGTTCTCTCTCTCCATGCTCCAGAGTAGCTATGACATCCTCCCCTTATCCCACACAGAATTGTGTCACCTACACCCAGGCCCAAGGCCCCTGCAATTCTCCTTCCTGAAAGGACATTGTCTCCAGGCAAAGATGCACAAAAATAACTTCATCAATTACAACTGTGGCAAGTGCAGTACAGAGAAGACACAGAGGGCTGTGAGGTTTCCTGATAGCAAGACCTGACAGGGACATGCCAGGTTTAGACAACACTGAAACTTGATTTCAGGGGAGGATTATGGAAAAATTCAAAAAGTAGGTAGGAGTCAGCCTGGAGAAGGGGGTTGATGGGCATAACCCAGGTAATGGGAACAGCAGGTGCAAAGATCGTGAGGTAAGGGGGAATTTGGAACATTGGAGAAACAGAGGGAAGATTAGAGTAACCAGAGCATTGAGAGCGAGGGAGGAGGGTGGCAGGTAAAGCTAGGAGTTGGGCCGGGACTACATGGACGCGAGGCCTTGCCAGCCATGGGGAAGCATCTGAGCGTTACTTGGAGAGTAATGGGAAACACTGAAAGGTGTGAAGCAGGAGAGGATATGATCAGTGGTCATATCCATAACCGCTGGGAGATAGAATAATAGAGCCCTAGACAGCGTCCATTGGGTTTAACAACACGGAGGTTGCTGAATCTTGAAAGCAAAGATGGTAGTGCGAAGGGATGCGAGTTAACTGCCAGCCCAAAGGAGACATACTTTTTTTTTTTTTAAAAAGATTGTATTTATTTATTTGACAGACAGAGATCACAAGTAGGCAGAGAGGAAGGCAGAGAGAGAGAGGAGGAAGCAGGCTCCCCACTGAGCAGAGAGCCTGATGCGGGGCTCGATCCCAGGACCCCGGGATCACGACCGGAGCCGAAAGCAGAGGCTTTAACCCACTGAGCCACCCAGGTGCCCCAGGAGACATACTTTTGATGGACATTTAATTCATGAGTGGTTACCTTAAGCTACCATTTTTACCTTTCTCAGATTATCGGATAGAGAACATTTGTAGCAACTGGTAGGACCATGGAGAATAAGAACCTTAAAACATGAAATGGTGTATTGTGCTGCTTTTAAGGCAAAATAAAAAGTCCCCTGACTCAGAGCTGTTGTGTCTGGAATAACTAGACCCAAATGCACTATTTTTAAAGTATCAAAACCATGAATCCTATCTCTTAGCCGTTAGAATACTCAATAGGAGAATATGTTTATTTTATTTGTTGGTTTCAAAAGCTAAAATTCCAGGAGCCTTAAGTAAAGGCTTCATTTATTTGTGTTTATTTCTTTTCTACAGACCTATGGGGCATTATTCTGTGAAACCAGCGCCAAAGACAGCTCGAATATAGTGGAAGCTGTTCTCCATCTTGCTCGGTAAAATGTCTTATATTTGGAAAACTGAACGCAGGATTGTATTTTCACGTAGTCGGTGCATATGCCCGATTTCTGGACCATAACATGGATATACATTGGAAAACACTGTCTCGTATTTCAGTGGTGGTTAGAGAAACAATTGAACACGGATTTTAGAAAAACGGTAGTGCTGCTTATTCACTGTGAACGCTGGCAAAGTACCTTTACTGCCAAACAAAGCAGGTGCATCTGAGGTATCGCTGACATTTCTCCAAAATGTCACCGCAAAGCTAACAGTTGACTTGTATGAATCATTTCCAGGAACCAGATTTTAAACACAAGAGACTATTATGAAATTAACTACCTATTATGACATTTTCTGGGATAAAGGAGAAAAAAAACAACTCAACAAAGCAAATTGTGTATCATGCCAGTTGGAAGCACTTTATTAAAATAATTACTCAGGTAATTATTAAGCTCAGGCAGTGGTGTTAATAATAAATAACATTTTGTGATGTAGATTAGAATGAAAATTATATCCTTGAGGAACTTGGATATAAATGTGTTTTTTATTCCTTGGAGTAAATCTGAATTTTAAGAAATAATAACATTATCTTTTAGATTTATGTCTTCTGCCTGGTTTTCTGCCACAAATGAAAGGATGATTCTTTACTGGCCTGAAGAGATTAAATATCCAAAAGAAAAAGAAAGGAATAAAGGAAAAGAAAATGAGCATGAACAAAATCAGGCCAGTGATCTTTAATTGCTGACAAAGTAAAGCCATAATTTGGGGTGTGTAGGTTTTTTTCTGATCATATGTGAAATTTAAGAATCTTAGCTTTAGTATGATAGATGGCTTCTTCTGCTCCTATACAGTGACAAGTAAAATACATCGCAAGTTCCAATGCTGCTTTTCTATTGATGACTTGGTGTTTAAAATGCTTACCAGCTGCTTAGACTGGGGCCTTGGGCAAGATCCTTGCCCTCACTTGAGAAAATCAGGAAATGGGCCTCAGGACTTTAAATGGTCTGCTTGGCATTAGTCTGTGGCAGGCCTTGGCAGATACCTTGGGCTCGAACTGAGTCTGAACATTATCTCCTTTGATATCAGTCCGAGAGAGAGCCACCTGCCCACACCATGCTGGAAATCATCTTTGTGTGAAGCAAAGACAGTGCTAACTCTGAGTGTGACCTAGATAGGGTGGAAGAAAGGCAAACATTTAAGCATGTGTAGATTCAAGGGAATGACATGGTTTTCTGCCTGTGATTAGTAGGAGAATCATGGGCTCATCCCACATTTGTCAAACAAGAGCCCAGGTAAACTAAGCTGGGTGAAATAATGGATTCCATGTACCTGTGGGTGTGAAGGGGCCGCTGGCCATTTTGACCAAGGAAGGCTCATTCAGTACACGCGGTGGGGGCAGGGGGTGGGTGGAGACTGGGTTAGATGCACTGACGGTGAACTTGCTGCTGAACTGGTAGGTGTTGGTCCTTTCTCAGGTGTTCGTGCTGGCGTTTCGCTACAACATACCCAGGGATTCCTGGGTGGAAGTGCTCTGCTTGCTGGGCTAGGGGGGTTTGGGGAGGACCTGCGGGTCTTTAGAGCATCGCTGGGCCCAGAGCTGAACCGCAGCGGGCAGGGGTGGGGCCCCTAGCTTTGGCAGCGGGGTGCTGACCTGTTGCTCGGCCCAGCAGAGAAGGATGCTGTGCGCGGGCCTCCTGCCAGGCTGTTGCCTCCGGCCCCGATTAATGGAGGACCACGGTGCAGGAGGCTCAAAGTACGGTCTTAAATCTCCCCTCAAACAGCTGTGGAGTCGGACGAGTCCCTCCTCCCTCTCGGCATCTCTAGTCTGTAAAATGAGGGACGGGGCTGGAGAAGCGACCCCCAAGGTCCTCTCTGATTCTGCCAGTATGCCGCGGAATATACCGGAATATACCGCCGGTATGCCACGGAATACCAGTCGCTACTTCGTGCTGAATTGTCTTACAGGAACATATTACAGTTAAAGTGACTCCAGATTGCCACGGTCACACGCAGAGTGCCGAATCCATGCTCTTTATTGTATCGTAAAGGTGGGCGAGGCTGTGAGCTGCCTATGCTTTCTCTGCTGTCGCCACACAGCCTTGTGCTTCCTTGCGCAGCACACCCGTGCACAGAGGCCTTTTGATCACGAGGTCCCTCCTTGGGAATCACTCACCAGGGAGTTATTTTATTGTTGTTGTTGCATTATGGCCTGGTGTGAGGTCCCTGGTTTCGTTATGTTAGCGATGTGTTAAATATGAAAATTATAAATAAAGCAAATATTTAAAAATTTTAATTTGCTTTATATCCTGCCTTCAGATTTGCTTATTAAAGTGCCTAAGTCTTACATGGAAATGGTAGAGTTGCCACTGGTGAAATGGTTGTTTTTAAAGTTTTACATCCTGAGGCACCTGGGTGGCTCAGTCCGTTGAGCGTCTGCCTTCAGCTCAGGTCATGATCCAAGAGTCCTGGGATCGAGTCCCACATGGAGTTCCCTCCTTATCGGGGAGTCTGCTTCTCCCTCTCCCCACTGTTCACGCTCTCTCTCTTGCTATTTCTCTCTCTCAAATAAATAAATAAAATCATCTTTTTTTTTAAGATTTTATTTATTTATGAGAGAGAGAGAGAGAGAGAGAGAGCGAGCACAGGCAGACAGAATGGCAGGCAGAGGCAGAGGGAGAAGCAGGCTCCCCGCAGAGCAAGGAGCCCGATGTGGGACTCGATCCCAGGACGCCGGGATCATGACCTGAGCTGAAGGCAGCTGCTTAACCAACTGAGCCACCCAGGCATCCCAAATAAAATCATCTTAAAAAAGGTTTTACATCCTTTAGAAAGTTACGTATAATGTAAAATATGTTGCATTCTCAATTTAGATCTTGCAAGACAATTACCATCACGGCCGCTTTCATGCTGTCTCACGTCATAAAACGTGAGCTAGACGAGTTTATGGATTTGCACTGTCTGAAACAGAATTCTGTTTTGAGGGGAGGCCAAGAATGTTTGGTTAACACCCTGAACTACTAGTATTGCTTTTTTCTGGAAACCTCTCAATCCCAGGAAAAGCGTTTCCTAGGAATGCAGTTTCCTCGCAGTGCTGACAGGACATTTATCATAGTCATTGTCCATTGGCAAGTGGACTTGCCAGCGCCAGAACCACAAGCTTTGTACATTTTGCAGATTGAAGTTCCAAAGTGTTCAATTGATCAATGGTCTGAGATCTGAAAGAAAAAAAAAAAACCCACAAGAAGTGCTCAGGCTGATATTTCCATTCAGCCCAGGAGCTGAGCCTGTTGGGAGGAAATCTGCCGATGAGACAAAGTCACCTTACATGCAGTCGTCAAGCATATGGTAGTTTTGGTGAGAGAGTGTAGTTTTCCCAGGCTTACACCTATTGTAGGTGTTTGGAATATCTGATTTCCTTGAAGTGGGAGGGACATGCCTGTACTTATGGTGGATTAGAGAAACCAAAGGCCAGATGGACCAGGTGGGTACGTATTTTTCCTCCCTAATACTTGCTTTCAGGTTCAATAAAATATCTGCATTATTGTGAGCTCTCAGCCTGTGGAGGCCCCATATATGGTTTAGTAGCAGTATCGAGGAAATGAATATTTGCAGGCCATGCAGTGTAACGAGAAGGGGGAAAAAGAGAGAGAGAGAGAGAGAAGACATTTGACCAGACAGTCAGATAATTATAGCTGGTAGAGGCTTTAGGACCACCTAGAAGGGAGAGATGTGAATTGTCTTGTGAAGGCGCTATGATTAGTATACCCTTTGCACAGATAGGAAAGTGGAGGACTAGAATGCTTAGTCAGCCTGCTCAAAGTGGCACAGCTGCTAAGTGGCAACACTGGGACTTGTTGCCACCACTCTGGCACATCGGCTTGTTGCTTCCCTGTTGGCAATCTCAGGATTGCATTCCACATTCTCTTCTTCTTTACTCTCTCTCTGCCTAATGTCTTCTATCCCCAGGGATTCTAGAACTGTCTCTAGCTGGCGACTTCTCCAATTTCTATATTTTTTACCTCCACCTCTTTTTAAAATTCCATAACCACATCCTCACCCACCACCAAGAGGAAATTCCAGAGGCGTGACTGTATCCAACATGTGCAAACCCTCACAGCCTGGCCTCACCCATCTTTCTGGTTGCATCTCTTAATCTTACTTCCCAAAGGAATGATAATCTGTAGACACAGCAAACTTAATTCTACTTGTGGCTGAGCTCTTTTATGTCTCCTTGCCTTTATGCATGCTGTTCCTTGCACCTAGAATCTCCTTTCCTCATTAAGCGAAGGTCAATTCCTGTTCTTTCAAGAGGTCCCTCCAGTGTCAAAGTGTCCACGCAGCTCCATCTCCATAACGCCTTCCTTCCCCACAGACCAGCATGACTGGTGTACCGTGCATGTGTGTTAGCAGCTGTCTCGGGACCTGGGAATGACTTGTTTAGCCTTCTCTCTCTCCTTCAGTGCTCACTAATAGAGGGTCCCAGTGTTTGGCATAAATTGAGCATTTGTTGAATGACCAAATATCTGAGATGATGCAGTTGGAAGTTGTATTAGTTCTCTGTTGTTGCTGTAACAAATTCCCACAAGTGTTGTTGCTTCAGCAACACACGTGTATCATGTTCCAGTTCTGGAGGTCAGGAGTCTAAAAGGAGTCTTATAGGGTATTCTAGGTTGGATCGTGTACCTTCCTTCTTCTCCTTGGTCTTTGTTTCCTCGTCTGTGAAGTGAGGATAATAATGCTCTCCTGTCACCTGTCAGGGATGCATGTGTGTTTGTGTTGTGTGATTGTTTATGTGCATTAAATAAGAAAAATGTGAAAACATATAGTATAGCGTTTATTAGCTGGCCTTCAGCAAGAGTTAATTCCTCCCTCTTTTTTTTTTTTTCCTTCTTCTGAGATATCTTCTTTCCAACTCAGTATAGTGGTTTTCAAAAGTTAGCACATATCAGCACCTTCTGGAGTCCTGCTGACCAATTTGGCCTCCATGGGCCTACCTGAATGTGGCGAACCCAAATTGAGATGTGCTGTAGGTACTGAGTATGTACTAGATTTTGAAGACAGTATAAAAATCATAGAATACTTCATTATCATTTTTATTGATAAAATGCTAGAATGATAATATATTTGCTATACTGAGTTAAAATATATTAATAAAATTAAATTTACCTGTTTCTTTTTACATTTTTTAATATGGCTACTAAAAAATTTAAGATTACATGTGGATTACATTATATTTTGATTGAACAGTGTTGCTGTACTAGGAATATACCAGTTCTTAGTAGGTTCGGTTATCTGCTGCTCTGTAATAAACCAAAACGTGGTTGCCTGAAACAACTGCCACTTTTTAGTTTCTTGAAATTATCAAAATTGTCTGGATCTCAGCTGGAAGGTTCCTCTACTTGGAAGGTTCTTGCTTGGGGTGTCTCATACATTTGCGGTCAGGCAGCCATGGGGGTAAAGCTGAGGCTGGGTGTCTGCCACCAGGGTCCTTGTCCTTCTGGCCACTCTGCTAGCCCTCTCCACTGAGGAGCCCTGGCAGCTGAGAGCAGCTAGGCCTTATTAACGCTTGGCTTGGATTCCCAGCCCACCATTCCCCTGCATTCTGTTGATCTAAGCAGTCACAGAGCCAGTACTGTGAAGGGACAGCCCATGATGGGGGGCCTCCTGGGGATGAGCTGCCAGTCAGGAGTGCCATTCAGGGTCTGCATGTTTCACAGGCATCTCTGGGAACACACTTGGAAGGATACTATCCCTAGGAGGTTTTCACTTGTGAAAGTGAAGAGCTTTTGTCATCGTTGCCTCTAGCTGTTAATTCTAAAGGAAAGTTAGGAAGAGGCAGAAGGAAGATTTTTTTTTCCTGGATTTTAAGCATTCATCATTATCTCCATGATCCTGTATAATTAAAGAGTGGTTTTGAAGTCATCATTGCTTTTGTTAAGGTCAGCAAGTACTAGCCAGCGATGGAAGCCAGGTTCCAGAGTGAGCTAAGGAGTGAGCTGTGCATGCGGCAGACTGTAAAACATGTGAGACCACAGGAGAGAGCAGTAGTAGGGTGTGTGTGTGTGTGTGTGTGTGTGTGTGTGTGTGTGTTGCTGTGCATGTGTGTCTCGTGTGTTCCTGCCTTGTGCATGCGTGAACATGGCCTTGTGCTCAGAGTTCAGGTGTGGTTCCAGGCCTGGCTCTGTGGCTTCTCCAGCCACGTGACCGAAGGGAAATTGCTTCACCTTTCTTTCTTTGCCTTTGCTTCTGCACATATAAAATGGGGCCCAACAAATTCACATGGTCCTCGCGAGAACGGTGTCTGGATGACATAGAGCAAGTGCTCAGCCGTCTTGTTTTTATTTCTACAAAACCATTTGTGGTTTAGTTTTGTACCTCAGTAATGCATTCTCTCTCTCTCTGTCTCTCTTTGTCTCTGTCTCTGTCTCTCTCTCTCTCTTTCTCCCCTGCACCCTTCCCCCAGGGAAGTGAAAAAAAGGACCAATGAAGATGACAGCAAATCTAGCACCAATCTGACCAGGACCAGTTCCAGAAAGTCAATGCAGATGAAGTACTGTTGCAGTAGTTAAATCCCAAACATCCTTGGCCTGTCAGGTCTTCAGGCCCAGAGTCCTGGGTGTCTGTGACTTGTTTGCTTCTCACAGAGGTGTGCGTCCTCCAGACATGGCCAGGTGGAAGCTGACAGTGAGGGCCTTGGAACTGTGCTCTTAGATCCTTCTGGAGCCCTGGCTCTTTGCTATGTTTCAGTGAATGATTGGGGCCCCGTAGTTGAAGGTACTTGTCTTGTCCTTACAGAGTCTCAAAAGAGAACATGTAAAAAAAATGGTTAAAAAAAAATCATATGCTCAGATCAAAGCTGTAGAAGACACTTCCTGATGTAGATTCACATGGTAGCTGACTTTGTAGATAACCTAAAACAGTATTTCTTTTTTCAAATATCTGTTACTAGAATACTAGTAAAAAGGGATTATCATCCTAGCTTTGCTGCCTGTGGTCTCAGACATGTCAACAGCCCACGACAGACCTGTTTCCTCACCTGCAAAACAAGCAGCTTGGCCCTGCAGGCCTTGACCTCTGGGATTCTGTGCACTGTAAGGAGTGGGAGGGAGACCACGATGACCCACAGTTAATAAGGACTCTGGTTAGTTGGACTTTTTAAATATTGGGGCATTGATTTTTCTCATTTCTGAAACAACAGAATTTAATTGATAAAAAATAATGTTGTAGGCTTCAGTGGAGACAGAAAAATCTACTTTTATATACAGAGGAAAAAACATTTGTGTGATAAAAAGAAAATAAAAACAAGGTACTGACATCTCCACAAAGTCTGTGGTTCAAGTTTCAAGTTAAAAATTCTAATGAAAATCATAGGAGGCCACATACTGGTAAAAGTACGATGCCCAGGAAAGTTGTCACTCTTCACTTAAAAATATATACCAGCCAGTCATGGCCATGGCTAGGGAAAGACAGGAGCTGGAGTGACTGCTAATGGGGATGTGGTTTCTTTGGGGAATGAGAATGTTCTGGAATATATACTTTGATATGGCTGCTAACTTGGTAAATACGTGAAATAACACTGAGTTGTTAAAAGGGGAAAGTTTGGGGGGCGAGTCAAGATGGCGGAGAAGTAGCAGGCTGAGAGGACATCAGGTAGCAGGAGATCAGCTAGATAGCTTATCTAACCATTGCAAACACCTACAAATCCCAACGGGAAATCAAAGAGAAGAAGAGCAACAATTCTAGAAACAGAAAATCGATCACTTTCTGAAATGTACGACCTGTGGAGAAGTGAATCCAAAGTGACGGGAAGATAGACCGCGGGGGGAGGGGCCAGCTCCCAGCAAGCGGCGCAGCAACGGAGCACAAAATCAGGACTTTTGAAAGTCTGCTCCACAGAGGGACATCGCTCCAGAGGCTAAACCGGGGGGAAGCCCATGCGGGGGCAGCATAACCCCAGGTCGAGCGGGGTCACAGAAGGTCCGGGGGTGTCTGAGTGTCGCAGAGCTCACAGCCGGCAACAGCTACAAAGCCGAGGAGTGAGCTGTCAACTTGGGCTTACCTTGAACCGGTGGCAGGCTGGGTGAGCTTGGAGCGCGGCCAGAGGCCACGGAGACAGAAGCAACTGGGCGCTTTTCTCCAAGTGCTAGGGATTGAGCGCTTTTCTCCAAGTGCAGCCAGAGGCCAGGGAGACCGGGACGGTTGGGTGCTATTCTCTGAGGGCGCACTGAGGAGTGGGACCCCGAGCTCTCGGCTCCTCCAGGTAGGAGACTGGGAGGCCGCCATCTTTATTTCCGTTCTCCTGAACCCTACGGAAAGCGTTCAGGGAACAAAAGCCCCCAAAAGCAAACCCGAGCTGATTACTCAACCCGGCCCCTGGTAAGGGCGGTGCAATTCCATCTCGGGCAAAGACACTTGAGAATCACTACAGCAGGCCCCTTCCCCAGAAGATCAACAAGAAACCCAGCCAAGACCAACTTCACTCACCAAGGAAAACAGCGGAATTCCAGAGGAGGAGAAAGCAAATCTTATCTGGACAAAATGACAAGGCGGAAAAACTCACAAAAAAAAAAAAAGAGCAAGAGGCAGTACCGAAGGCTGGCGACCTAATCAATACAGACATTGGTAATATGACAGATCTAGAGTTCAGAATGATGATTCTCAAGGTTCTAGCTGGGCTCGAAAAAGGCATGGAAGATACTAGAGAAACGCTCTCTGGAGAATTAAAAGCCCTTTCTGGAGAAATAAAAGAACTAAAATCTAACCAAGCTAAAATCAAAAAAGCTATTAATGAGGTGCAATCAAAAATGGAAGCTCTTACTGCTAGGATAAATGAGGCAGAAGAAAGAATTAGTGACATAGAAGACCAAGTGACAGAGAATAAAGAAGCTGAGCAAAAGAGAGACAAACAAATGCTGGACCACGAGGAGAGAATTCGAGAGATAAGTGACACCATAAGACAACACAACATTAGAATAATTGGGATTCCAGAGAAGAAGAAAGAGAGAGGGGAGCAGAAGGTATATTGGAGAGAATTATTGTAGAGAATTTCCCTAATATGGCAAAGGGAACAAACATCAAAATCCAGGAGGTGCTAAGAACACCCCTCAAAATCAATAAAAATAGGTCCACACCTCATTACCTGATAGTAAAATTTACAAGTCTTAGCAACAAAGAGAAAATCCTGAAAGCAGCCTGGGAAAAGAAGTCTGTAACATACAAGGGTAAAAACATTAGATTGGCAGCAGATCTATCCACAGAGTCCTGGCAGGCCAGAAAGGACTGGCATGATATATTCAGAGCATGAAACGAGAAAAACATGCAGCCAAGAATACTATATCCAGCTAGGCTATCATTGAAGATAGAAGGAGAGATTAAAAGCTTCCAGGACAAACAAAAACTGAAAGAATTTGCAAACACCAAACCAGCTCTACAGGAAATATTGAAGGGGGTCCTCTAAGCAAAGAGAGACCCTAAAAGTAGTAGATCAGAAAGAAACAGAGACAATATACAGTAACAGTCACCTTACAAGCTATACAATGGCATTGAATTCATATCTCTCAATAGTTACCCTGAATGTTAATGGGCTCAATGCCCCAATCAAAAGACATAGGGTATCAGAATGGATAAAAAAACAAAACCCATCAATATGCTGCCCACAAGAAACTCATTTTAGACCTGAAGACACCTTCAGATTTAAAGTGAGGGGGTGGAAAACAATTTACCATGCTAATGGACATCAAAAGAAAGCTGGGGTGGCAATCCTTATATCAAATCAATTAGATTTTAAGCCAAAGACTATAATAAGAGATGAGGAAGGACATTATATCATACTCAAAGGGTCTGTCCAACAAGAAGACCTAACAATTTTAAATATCTATGCCCCTAACATGGGAGCAGCCAACTATATAAACCAATTAATAGCAAAATCAAAGAAATACATCGACAATAATACAATAATAGTAGGGGACTTTAACACTCCCCTCACAGAAATGGACAGATCATCTAAGCAAAAGATCAACAAGGAAATAAAGGCCTTAAATGACACACTGGACCAGATGGACATCACAGCCACATGCAGAAAAATGAAATTGGACCATTTCTTTACACCACACACAAAAATAGACTCAAAATGGATGAAGGACCTCAATGTGAGAAAGGAATCCATCAACATCCTTGAGGAGAACACAGGCAGCAAACTCTTTGACCTCAACCACAGCAACTTCTTCCTAGGAACATCGCCAAAGACAACAGAAGTAAGGGCAAAAATGAACTATTGGGATTTCATCAAGATCAAAAGCTTTTGCACAGCAAAGGAAACAGTTAACAAAACTAAAAGACAACTGACAGAATGGGAGAAGATATTTGCAAACGACATATCAGATAAAGGGCCAGTATCCAAAATCTATAAAGAGCTTAGCAAACTCAGCACCCAAAGAACAAATACTCCAATCAAGAAATGGGCAGAAGACCTGAACAGACATTTCTGCAAAGAAGACATCCAGATGGCCAACAGACACATGAAAAAATGCTCCACATCACTCGGCATCAGGGAAATACAAATCAAAACCACAATGAGATACCACCTCACACCAGTCAGAATGGCTAAAATTAACAGGTCAAGAAATGACAGATGCTGGCGAGGATGCGGAGAGAGGAACCCTCTACACTGTTGGTGGGAATGCAAGCTGGTGCAACCACTCTGGAAAACAGCATGGAGGTTCCTCAAAAAACTGAAAATAGAGCTACCTTATGACCCAGCAATTGCACTACTGGGTATATACCTAAAGATACAAAAGTGGTGCTCCGAATGTTTTTAGCGGCAATGTCTACAATAGCCAAACTATGGAAAGAACCTAGATGTCCATCAACAGATGAATGGATAAGGAAGATGTGGTATATATACACAATGGAATACTATGCAGCCATCAAAAGAAATGAAATCTTGCCATTTGCGACGACGTGGATGGAACTAGAGGGTATCATGCTTAGCAAAATAAGTCAATCAGAGAAAGACAACTATCATATGATCTCCCTGATATGAGGAAGTGGAGATGCAATGTGGGGGGTTTGGGGGGTAGAAAAAGAAAAAATGAAAGAAGATGGGATTGGGAGGGAGACAAACCATAAAAGACTCAATCTCAAAAAACAGACCGATGGTTGCTGGGGGGAGGGGGGACGGGAGAGGGTGGTGGGGATATGGACATTGGGGAGGTTTTATGCTATGATGAGTGCTGTGATATGTGTACACCTGGCAATTCACAGACCTGTACCCCTGGGGATAAAAATACGTTATATATATGTTTATCTTAAAAATTAATTAATTAATTAAAATTTAAAAATAAATAAATAAATTAAAATTTTAAAAAAGGGGAAAGTTTATGGGATGTGAATTATATCTCATTAAAAAAAAACACAACCACTTTAACATTTGCCCAAGGAAAATGTGCATGATTGTTTCAGACCTTCCTATGATTTACAAGCATAATCTCCAATATGGTACAAATCTCTGAACTCTGTCATGGCCAGCATTCACTACCTGAAATCATGAACAGTGAAAAAAATGTTATGTATAGTTTTGGAAATTCATCTCTTCACAAGAGGTGCTGTCCTTAGAAATGGGAAATCAGAGTCCTTTGTTTAATATGACTAGTGACTCCTCCTCACCAACAATGTGGTGGGTCTTGCTCTCCTTCTAGAACCTGCAGTGCCTCCCAGATTTCCCCACTGAAAGGTCTCTAACAGCTGAAGGAGTCAACATGACCCTACATAAGCCTGGTTTTTGGTTTTTGACTTTTGGTTCTCAGTGGCCTTGAACCAATTAAGTTATCCCCAACTAGAGGTTTGAACTTACCTTGGTTCATATAGTTCCACCTTCCAAGTAGTCTGCTGGAAAAACCTTAAATAACTTATTTA